TTTCAGAGGTGGGGGCAGCTCCAGTTTCAGAGCCTTTCCAGGGTCTGGACATGAAAAGGGTCACCCTGGCTGGCTCAAAGCCCTCCGGAAAACTTAGGTACTAAATTTCTCAGTTTGGGTATACTAGTTATCACTCATCCATCTCCTTCCATGTTCCTAAGTTTGTTGACATCCTTCTTCAGCAGGGATCTCTTTTCCTGTTTGCTTTGTCCTTATGGGTTTATACCTTTTTAAAAAAAATCCCTTCTCTTTCATTTTAATGAGGTATCAGTAGTGAGAAAAGAAAAATGTGTGATAATGAACCATGTTTAACCAGAAGTCTCCTTACCATTAACATCACAGATGTAGTGAACATCTTTTCTAAGTAGGAAAAGTCCAGGTATGACTATAGGCAGTTCTATAAGACGTAGATATATGTACAATAATATACCTAAATTTTATTAATATGTGCTAAATGGTCCTTGAAAAAAAAATTTTGGCTGTGCTGTACAGTATGCAGGATCCTAGTTTCCTAACCAGGGGTCACATCTGTGCCTCCTGCATTGGAAGCATGGAGTCTTAACCACTGGACCACCAGGGAAGTCCTTAAACCATCTTTTAAATGCTTATTTTATTATATATATATATATATATATATACATATTAATATTTTATCTTCACAATAACCCTGAGATTGATTCTGTGATTCAACACCTAGCAGTCTGACTCCAGAGCACCTATGCTATATAATGTGGTACATCATTTCTAAACTACAGGAAATCTTATTTTTTTTTAATATTTATTCATTTATTTGGCTGTACCAGGTCTTAGTAGCAGCATGTGGGATCTAGTTCCCTGACCAGGGATCGAACCTGGGCCCCCTGCATTGGGAGCTCAGAGTCTTAACCACTGGGCCAGCAGGGAAGTCCCAGGAAATCTTATTTTCAACTTGTCAGGTCTCTAGTCAACCTATACTTATTGGTAACTTAAGCTATAGCTGAGGTTTTTCTCATAGATGTTGAGTATTTACAGCACATTATTTGTTGTGGCAAGGCTAGCATCACTTTTGAAGTGTCTATTTGAAGATACATGTTGGAGGCAGAAGAGAGTAATTTATGACAAATTCTAAAGCAGAGTCATTTAAACTGGGAATCCTGGCATGTGTTTGTTTTATAATACAGACAGATGGGCCTTTCCTGTTAAAGAAAGCAGTTACCGTCTGTAATCTGAGGGGTCAAAGAGAAGCAATTACAAATCCCACATTAGTAACACAACACTAAAACGCTTGGGTAAATGAAACATAACTGCCAGAGTTTAATATCTTAAAGCACTGATGGCCTTGAACACCCTTACTCAGAGAATTCTGCTCTTCATTCTCTGTAGATTTTAGGACAAGGTTCACTATCACTCTCTCCAAGGCCACTCATACTCCAACTCCACTGTTACTTCGCAGATAATTCTTTGCAAGACACAGATATATCTTTCAATCCTTCTGCCTCTCAAGTCCTCGACCTCTCTTGGAATGATCTTTGCCCTCTGCTATCTCAGGTACCCACTCTTCTGGTCATTCCCTATGCCTTGTCATTACTTCTAATTTTAATTTCAAGCCAACTAGTCTCCAACCCATCTCTTCTTTTTTCAGGTCATTCTCTACGGTACCTAAACTCCAGCAATTCTTCAACCTGCTGAGAAACACATTCCACGCACTCTCCTACCTTTTCACAGTTCCCTGCTGCTCTCAGTTCTCCACCTTTCCCTCTCAAAGACTTACTTCCTACCATGTCTGAAATTGGAATGCCTCCTTTGCATCTACCTTCAACCATCCTTTGCCCATTTCTCCCCATCATACTTGCCTGAACAAATCTCAGGCCTGGGTAATCGGACTGCCTACTCAGTACCTGCACATGAGCAACCAAATCTGGCTGGAGAAAAATGTGTGAACATACTGACTTATTTCATGACTGTTGCCCACCAGGCTCCTCTCTCCATGGAATTCTCCAGGCAAGAATACTGGATTGGTAGCCATTCCCTTCTCCAGGGTATCTTCCTGACCCAGGGATCAACCCTGGGTCTCCTGCACTATAGGCAGATTCTTTACTGTCTAAGTCACCAGGGGAGCCCTCACTATACTGACTGATCTCATTATAAATTCATGTGGGCCCTTAATAGTGCCTGGAAACCTTACCATGTTTCCCTCAATTCCCTCTCCCACACTCACAGATTAGTATTTCACCTCTCTTCCTCTCCCCCTCCCCCAATAACCCCCCTCACTACTTTCAGTTAATAACTACACGAACCAGAGTAAGCTAAACTGCTGCAACAAACAAAAATGTTATAGCTCCCACTCAACAGAAATTTGTATCTTGCTCACATAATAATCCAGAGTGGGTATTCCAGGTCAATGGGCAACTCTCCTTCATCTCTACACCTTCTTTCTTACTGTCTGCCAATCCCAAGGTCTTGTAGTCATCTGCATAATCTAGCTGGCAGGAAGGAAAAAATGAATGAAGGAGGCATAGTGGCCTGGAAGTAGCCCACATCATCTCTGCTCACATTCCAGTAGCAATAACTCCACATTTGACCATACCCAACTGAAAGAAAGCCTGAGAAAAATAGTCTCTGTGCCCAGGAAGAATGAGAGAATACACTGTGATGGACAAATAGCAGTCCCCTAAAATGATGTTGTTTCTTATTTCACTGAGAAAATAGAAGCAACTAGAAAAGAACATCTACTTTGTCCTGCTATCAAATCCACAAGCCTACTTCAGGATGTCCCATACATATGGAGACTGGAGGGATTATATTTCCAGGCTGTTCCCAAAGGGGCGGTGTCCAAGCTTTCAGTTAGAACATGGTCATAATGACCACATCACCTAATTACAAGTTCAAACATACCTTCTTTCCTGGTGTTTTTTTGACCTCTGTGGTTTTGGATATTGCAATCAACTCTCCTTCCTGCCCCTGTCTTTGTGAAACTCCAATGTATCTTGCTTTGGTGATTCTGTGTTGCTCTGGTTCTCCTCCCACTTCCTCCTCTCTTTCTTTGTTGACTTCTCTATCTAGATGAAATCCCTTCTTTATTTGTTGGCTTTTCTCGTCTAGGTCTGAGCTTCTTAAACTTCAAGGTGATACAATCACTTGGGGTTCTTGTTAAATCAAAGACCTGATTCAGCAGGTCTGAGATTCCACCTTTCCAACAAACCTCCTGATGATGCCAGTGCTGCTGGGCCATTGACCACAAGGTTCTAAAGATGATGTTCTCCAAGATTCTGTCCTTTGTTTTCTCTCTTCTCTCACATGTTATCACTGCTAGGCTGAACTTCCCAAACTATCTTCTAGTTCAACCCTCTTTCCCTTACTTCAAAACCCTTACATCTAAGTGCTTAGTTGTCCACCTCTATTTGACTGACTCAACAACCTTTCAGACCTTTAAATGTCCAAGTCTAAACTAATCTCTCGAATTCCCATGTGGTTCAGACAGTAAAGTGTCTGCCTACAATGTGGGAGACCTGGGTTCAATCCCTGGGTTGGGAAGATCCCCTGGAGAAGGAAATGGCAACCCACTCCAGTATTCTTGCCTGGAAAACCCCATGGAGGGAGGAGCCTGGTAGGCTACAGTCCATAGGATCACAAAGAGTCAGACACGACTAAGCGACTTCACTTTCAAACTGATCTCTCAAAAAGTATTTCCTGTTCCTACTGATAATTGTCTTTTTTCTATCTTCTATAATTATCTCCAAACTCAAACTCTCCAATACTTTTTTATTTTTCTCTTCTTCCTTCATGCATGTTATGCTATCCCCTTTTACTGGAAAACCAATGACTCAATTGCCAAATTCTGTAGATTCTGCTTCCACATTACCTTTCAGCCAAGCTCTTTAAAATTTCTCCTGCCTTTACCTTTTAGTCCAGATTTATCAATACCTTTTACCTGGCCTATTGCAAGTTTATCTTACAATTTTCCCACCTCTAATTTCTGTATCCAGTTACAAAGAGGTGAAAGAAAAGCAAAGCTTTTAAACCTCCAATTTTTTATTTTTTATCTTTAACTTATTTTGTATTGGGGTATAGCCAATTAACAATGTTGTGATACTTTCAGGTAAAGAAGGAAGGGATTCAGCCATACATAAACATGGATCCACTCTTTCCCAAACCCAGCTCCCCTCCAGGCTGTCAGGTAACATCGAGCAGTTTCATGTGCTACACAGTAGGTCCCTGTTGTAAACCTCCAATCTTTTAAACCAGGAAAACTAAGTAATGTTTTAAATACAAATTCTTCCACTTAGCATTCTAGGCCCCATTCTCCTCGCTGTCTGCCACTTCTCAATATGCCCTAGAGTGTTACCATGTGCTTTTCCTTAACACGACTTTCACTGATTCGCCTTCATGCCTGTTCTCATGTTTTCTCATCCCTATCTCCTTAAATCAATCCCAAACGCCTTCTCCTCCTTACTGCCTTTCTTTCCTCATTCCCCGGACTGGTCTGAGCAGTTTCCTGATATTCTGCAGTACTCTGTATTTCTCACGTGGCACCTATCACGATTTATCTTTTATTATAACTGTTTTATCCCTTATTCTAAAGGCAACGATAACATCTTCAACTTCCCTCAGTAACCCTGCAGCGTCTTACCTATGGGGGCGTCTACTATTAGTTGAAATCAAAGTGATTTAGGAAGATAACGCGATGCAACGGTAAGCAGCAAAGAATCCGAAGTCAGGACAGTCGGGTTCCTGCTCTGCCATTTATTAGACGTGAGGCTTTGGCTAAGTCGCTTAACTTGGCTTGGGCAACGGGAATTCTACTACTTGATGGAACACTAAGGGAGAGAACTCTACAGAGAACTAACTAATCGATGTTCGTTATTTTCCTTGCAGAGAGCTGATGCAGCCTTTCTATTCAAATCTTGTTTGCAGGACCATCCCTACTTAACCGACCGGAGGTCGGGCCCCCAAACGGCTGGGAATTCGGGCCCCCACGTTCCCCGGGCCTCTTTCCACGGCAGGGCTCTCTGTTCTCCGCGATGCAGGTGAAGCCGCCGACCTGCGGGGGAATGGCCTGGAGTCCCATTCTCTCGGGAGACCTCCCTCCTCCCACTCACTCCGGGAAAGCTCTCCCCTTCCCGGTAACCCAGAAGACCGCGGCGCCGCCGCCTACGTGAGACGTTTGGACCCTGCCCGGCCCCCGTAGCTCCCCTTCTCCAGCAGGTGGTTCTGGTCCTTTCCCCCAACTCTGGGCGCTCACGTCACCGGCGAACCTCTACCCACGCGCCAGCGCCGCAACCAACCGAGAAAATAAACAAACCCCAGCGCGCGGCGGCGGGCGCGCCAGGCCCCTCCCCCGCTCCGCCCCGCGGCTCTCACGCCGCCCCCTCAGCCGGGACTTCCCTCCCGCCCTCGGCTCTCGGCCGCGCTCTCTCCGCCCCTCACCGCGGCCCGCAGCCGCGCTCCCCGCCGCGGTCCGCCCGGCCCGACGCCCCGGGGCCCGTTAGTGCCCGGTGCCCGCTCGCGGGGCCGCCGCGCGACCCCTGCCCGGTGCGAGCCCGCCGCTGCCCCCCGACACTTGACCCAGCGCAGTCCCAACGCCCAGTGCGGCCGCCCCGGGAGCCGCGGAGCGGCGGCGGCGGCGGCAGGGGGAGGAGGGAGAGGAGGGCCGAGCCGGCGGCCGGGGAGGCCCGGTGAGTACGCGGAGGGCGGGCCGCCTCGCGGGGGGTCAGCTCCGGCGCCCCTGAGGCAGTGGTGGCGGCCCGGCCGCGCCGCTCCGGGCGCCCCGGGCTCGGCAGTTGGGGACTCGGCCTGAGGCGACGGGCCCCGCTGGCCGGAGCCACTGGGCAGAGTGCGCGGGAGGGCCGCTCCTCAGGAAGGCCCTCGGCGCCCAGCTCGGGGGCGACGGAGAGGGACCCGCGCCGACCCCAGGCCTGGGCGCACCGGCGGTGCCTGCGCCTCCCGAGATCCCGCGGGGGCCGGGCCGGGGGGCGACCGCGGTCGCGGGGCCGCCGAGTGACAGGTGCCGCCGCCCCCTCCCCGCCGCGGGCATCGCTCTTTCTCCTGGGAAGCCAGGCGCTCGGAAATTTCTGGAGCAACTATCCGACTCGCTGTTTTTCTCCGTTGCAGGTTTTGAAACCGCTTCTTTGCCCGAGTTCGGTATCTCCCAGCCCTGTTTCTTTCTCGTATGTACTTTGCGCGAGTAAGTTTGGGAGCATCGGTTAACAGCCTATGGGTGAAATTTGGCTTTCGTTCGTGCATGAGGTATAGTGACTTACTTCTTGAATAAAGTGCTCCTCCTCCTCACGCTGGCTATTGAAAAAAGAGAAAGGGTTTTGATTTTTTTTTTTTTTTTGGCAGTTATTGTTTGTAATAAGCAGTCTTCTAGAAATTTTGTCATCTCTAACACTTAGGGGTCTTGGTCGATATTGAACAGTAATAAAAAATGGCTTATTAAATTGTATTTTCTCTCCACCTTCTTTTAGATTTTTCATTTTTAACTTTAGCTAGAGTCTCCAATTGAGTAAGTGCTATGGCTTTCATTAGACGCACTAATGAGAAAAATCGTCTTTCCTCTTCTGGACAGCCACTGAAATATTCGCTACACTTTTCATTATTGTCTGCTTCTTTACATAGTAAACGTGCTTATAAGTGTAACCTGAAAAGTCAGTTTGATAAATTTGACTTGCCAGCTATAAGAATATTAAACTTCGTGGCAATTAAAAATATTAAAAAATCTGTAGAAATACAGATTTGTTTTTCTCAACAAGTTCATAACACATAAGTTTGCATTAGTCAGATCCTGATTAACGGAAGATGAAGTCATACTTGGTAACAACACACTTAGCTATAAGATATCAATCAGGTGGCTTCACTCTTTATAAAGAATGAAGAATTCAGAAGTTGAACAGGAAGAGATCATTGGGACTAATGAAAATACGTGTGCTTTATTCATGGGAGAATCCTTTATTTCCTCATTCAGTACCTGCTTGTACTTTTTGCTTCGGTTTTTCAATCCACACAAATTAGATGTTGCAGGTTAGAGATGGGAGACAGTATTGAACTATGAAGAAAAAAAAATGTTTGTATGTATTAAGTTTGTTGATAGCAAAGTTTGGGTATGTTCCTGGCACTTACTGGTTGTGAACCTTAGTTTATAGACGCCAACGTGAAAGATATTGTGTAGTTGTGTTATTTGAGGAACAGAACATGAAAAAAATACAATAAAATTTTCACCAGATATTAAGTCACTCATACTCAGTGCCATTTCATTTTATGGCTTTTGTTTTTTAAAATCTAAGCTACTTTTCAGTGAGACCACACTGTATTCATTTCTTTTTTCACCAGGCTTACTGGTTGATTATGTTAGTGGAAGATCACTATTGTTTTTATAAAAAGGGATGTATTTGGTGGTTCTTGATTGAGGACCTTACATGTATGTCAGTTTTGAAGTGCCCTAATTATGGTTCCCTGGACTGAGGGATGGCTACTGCTACCATCTTTCTTGACCCTAGGATGATCATAGTTGAGAAGAATGATATCATAGTGGCACTTTTTCGGAGAACTTTGGTAGAGGAACCCAAGAGGCTCAGGCATTTATAAAACCTGCTTCTTGCAGTTTAGGCTATTCATTTAATAAACGTATTTACTTAACCTCCTGATGTATTCTAGTTCTTTTAAATTAATGTTTTAAAACCAGTTCTGTTTCCTAAACAAATATACCTTCTAAACGAAATTGGTTGTGGTGATGATGAGTTAGTAGACTGGCACTTAACAATGAAGCAACTTTGAACCACTGTTAACTCACATTTGCATTTTGGGAATTGAGGATTATCTCTAGTGCACTTTGCATTTTGCTACATTCTATTTTAGAGCAGGTCTTTGAATGAGTAGATAGTTGTGTACTTGGGGAATATAAATATTTTTTAAAAAACCAAATTCAATAAATGTATCTTTTGTGTGCCAGGTCCTGTGATTTTTTTTGTTGGAGGTGGAAAGAAGAGGCCCTTGCCTTTCAGGATGTTGAAATCAGGATTATAAAGAGCTGGGCACAATAGTAAACATAATTTTAATTATATTTGTCCAGTAATAAAAGTAAATATAAAGTACAGAAATATTGCAAGAGGAAGAAATGATTAAACAGGCAGGTTAGAAGAAGCATTTTAGAGATGCTAGCACCTGATCAAGATTTTGAGGAACAAATACTGGGTAGGCCAAAAAGTTCCTTTAGCTTTTTCTGTAAGATCTTATGGAAAAACCACACACAAAAAACACTTTGTGGCCAACCCAATACAGGTTGTAAGTGCAAGAGATATAGGGCATTTTAGGCAAAAGGCATAGTAAAAGCTGTAAACAAGTAAAAGTAAATGTGTGGTCAGGAAGTTTTAAGTAGTTTTTTTGTTTGTTTATTTGTGGCTATGCTGGGCCTTCACCGTTGTGCACAGGCTTTCTCTGGTTGTGGTGAGGGCGGCTACTCCCTAGTTGCAGTGCAGAGGCTTCCCATTGTGGTGGCTTGTTTTGTTGTGGCGCACGGGCTCTAGGTGCTCCGGATCAGCAGTTGTGGTGCACGGGCTTAGCTGCTGTGTGGCATGGGGAATCTTCCCAGGCCAGGGATTGAACCTGTGTGTCCTGCGTTGGCAGACAGATTCTTACCTACTGTGCCACCGAGGAAGTCCTAAGTAATTGTTTTGGTGGAGTACAATGTCTGAGGAAGGACAGTTGCTTTTGAAAAGCCTAACATATGTTCTAATATTAAGTAATTTCTTTTCTAGTACTGAGTATAAAGTGGAGACTTTCCTGTAATTTGATATTACTTACTAATGGTGTTCATTAAGAAAGTATAAAATATTGCACTTCATATGATGAGTTGCCTGCATATTTATATTTGTAAACTTATTGTGCATTTGTTTTTAAGTTATCTTGTGAACTTTTGTCTTCCCTCAGCTACTTAAATTAGCCTTTAAACTATTTTTTAAAAAAAGACTCAGCAGGAAGAGGGATAAACAGAAAATGATATTACATTTCTGGACCAAAAAAACTGATTTGTGTAGTATTTTAGTAATGTGTATCTGTTAACATAGAACACTAGCCATTGAAGTCATAGACTGACCAATGTAAGTAACTTAGTGGATGTCTACAATATTTTTGTTTTGTGTACCTTAATTATCCCATGTTATTTAAGTGTATGTATATAAATGAGCATTTGAGTACCTGGATTTTAAAGACCATGTGATAAAGAAAGAACGGGAAAATGGGGGAGGGAGAAGAGCTCCGTTTGCATCTGTTTACCTAAGTATCTCTTTGATATGACTATAGGTGGAGATGCAGAAGTATAGGACACAAGATCTCTAACCCTACCCTTACAAGAATATTGACCCTAGCCCTTTCCCTGAAATAGTATCTTTAAAAGTCTAATGTTTTTGTGGTCTGCTTATTTGTCTCTTTTTCTCTTTAAGATTTTTTAAAAAGTAGTTTCAAATGAATTCCTGGATTATATGACTTTTTTTTTGGTAAATTCAGAAAAATTTGTTAATGAAGTCAGTGTTCTCTTAAAAACATGCAACACAATCAGTCTTTAACAATTGCTTTCTGTCATTTGTCTTCTCAGTCACTAACATAAGGGACCTGAGTCATGTCATTGTTAATTCTGACCTGTAGTTGCCCTTTCTAAGTTTTGACACAGGGCAGAAAAATCAATATTGCATTGATTATGTTTTCTTTTTTGATTTTGGGTATAGATAGCCATTTTCCTTTTTCAAGATGAGATTTTTTTTTTTTTTTCTTATAGAAGGTCATTATAGACTATTTGGGGAAATAATGAAAACTATAGAAAGGAAGATAGGCATCATGGGTAGCCCCATACATCTCATTCTTTTTGGTATGTAAACAAATAGCATGTTTACAAACTGGGGATTATTTTTATTCCCTTCTTTCATTTAAAGTTTACATTTCACCCCTCTTCCCACTTGTGAAGTGTTGGTTAGTATATGGTATATACATTTTTGATATATAGATTCCTCTCATGACTAATGAGGGAGTTGATGTGTTGTCTATCACTTTTTTTAAAGTAGAACATACGATACAGTTGATGAGCCCTTCCACTTGTCCCATCTCTTTACTCCCTCAGCTGCTAAGTAGAGCTATTTTTTGCCTTTAACTTTACTATTATATAAAGTCTAGTACAGGTGGCTACCACTCTTCTATTGTCCCTCCTGTAGCCACTGACTAGACAAGGGATCCTTGCCGGTGAACACTTACCCCTTTCCATCTACCTTTCATTAGTTAAGCACATGGATTGCCAAGGTGTAGCATAGGTAGCTGCCTCATCAGAAAAAGTTATTTTGAGTGTTTATCACTAATTCTTTTCTCAGTTATTCTATTTGCTTTCTTTTCACTTTTATTATTCTCATTCATTCAGGAAACATTGGTTGCTTGTCACGTGTGTCCACTATTTAAGACATAGTCACTACTGTTATTCTTGGGTTTCAGGTAGATTGGTGTTTTCCTCATGCAGTATGTTAGATAAAATCTTTAGGTCTGTGACTCTTTCCAGTGGCTCAACCTCAAATTCTCAAGGCCAAAAACTTTTTTTCTTTTCATTTCAAAGAAAAAAAATTTCTGTGAGCTTTTAAGGGATGTTTAGAATGTCTGTGAACATTTCACTCATGCTGGACAATCCAGATATGAAATTCAGTTTTGGTATCAGTCCTAAATTGGAGAGGAAGTATATTTGTGTAAGCTGTTAGTGATGATAAGGTTAGATAATATTGCAGTGACAACCTGAAAAGCTCAGCAGCTTAAAGCAGCAAAGTTGCTTTCCTTCTCAAGCTACATGTCCATTACAGGTTAGTAAGGAGATTTTTTTCATTGTAGTTTCAGACTCCATCAGACTTGACTGATGGAGACTTCTTCTCAGTGTATGCTCCTGCAATAAGAGAAGCAGAGAAAAAACATGGCTCACCATGCTCTGGCTTTTAAAGCTTACCTTTCACTGGTAAGTCACATTGGCCATGTCTGCATTCAGCGTGAGAGTGATATATAGTTCTTTTTCAGGGAGGGGCAGTGAATATTTTTGAATAGCTATCATATGCAGTTTATAGTTGCAACAGTTAAAATTAAATACAGTAGTTGTAGAAC